GGCCCCGCCCCGCCCAGAGAGCGCGATTTCGCTATCGGGGACCCATCGCCGATCTATCGGCGATGTATCGCCGATTCCGGGTCGATGCTTCCCCCATTTGCCAGTCCCCCCCCTATCGTTGCCCCTCAGGAGGGGGAGGTGGGGGGGATATTGAGGTGCGCCGCGTTGAGGCGAGAGCTACATTTTCAAAGCGACCCGCCATCCATCCGTGATGCGGTTGCAGCTTTCAGGTTTCATGGTCATCAGTGGTGAGGCCTTGCCCGCCTTATGGACACGTCTGGAGTGCGACAGGGAGGAGTTATTTACGACGCCAAGGGGTTGATAAAGAGGAGTGGAGTGGAGTGGACCCCGTTGCGGAATGCAAGTGCGGGGCATGGCCTCGGGCAGAACGCGTCTCGACCGTTTCGCCTTGATCGCAGCTCGACGAAGGACTTTCGGCTGTTGTCCAGCCGCATTCCGATCAAAATACTTCTTGCGCGCCCTGGTTAAACCCGAGTCCCCAGGACAAACATTGCCGAGCAAATGCATGTGTTTTTCGGCGATAGCCCGCAGTGACTGCAAAACCAACACCTCATGGCAGTATGATGGTTCAAGGTTCATGGTGTAAGACGAATGGGCCCAGCCTCCCAGAAGATATCAAGACCCCATGTACTTTATACGGCCATGAGCACTCCGTATCCCACCAAGTTTTCACAGCAGCCTTGGGGGCCGACGACAAACGGCGCAAACACTTCTGCTTGCAGTCAAAGAGATTCTGGCGGGCGAGAAGAAAGGAGACAGCAGCAGCAGCAGCAGCAGCAGCAGCAGCAGAGGGCCCGAGGGGAGGCGGGGGGACCGCAGGGGACGCACAACGTCTTTTCTTTTCCACAGCCTGCACTTCAGCACTCGCCTTCATGCTGTCGAGTGTGGCCCTCGACCACCTGCGGCGCACCATCTAGGCACGACGCCCATGCAGAAGAGCACGGGTTCGGCCAGGTGCCGGGACACGAGTTTGCTCCGTTGCTACTCCTGCCAGCTCGTCGGCCACAGCGTCCCCCACCACGAGTTTGCGCGCGCCTTGTCCGTCTGCCAGCTCATGCTCTGAGAGGTGCGAGTGCGTCCCCACGGCAGCCCACAGATCGGCGCCCTCTCTCGGGGGCCGAACGTGAGCTTGTGCGTACCAGCCTGCCACCACGTTCTCGCAATTTGCAACGCACATCACACGTCCACGCGAAAGCCACAGCGCCACTGCGATCGCCTTGAACTCCCTGCGTGGGACCACTTGCCTGGGGCCACCAAAGGGCCGTACACAGCTGCCAGCGGCGCATCCTCACCCTGCATGCGCACGACCGCCAATCCGACCCGCCTGAGCTTCGGGAGGTTGGAGTTCGCACCCCCCGAAGCATCCCCGAACAGCCGGACTGGCGCCGCCGCCGTGCCCTCACCGAAGGCACTTTGGCCGAGGGAGCGCAAGGCCGACAAAGCTCCACTGCGCTTCGCTCGGTGGCTCGTGTACGCGTACTCATTCTGAGGGAAGAGGGCCTCGAAACTAAACGCCTTCTGTTGCGTCCTCCCGGGCCACAGCCTGCAGGACAAGATCGTTCCTGTCCGTACACACTTTGGCTCCACCGTTCTTCTCGCAAAGCCACGCACGGTGCATCGAGCTCTCGTCTTCTGTCTGCATTTGTCGCAGGTGGCATTGCCACAGTATGAGTTGAGAATGGTATTATTACGCAGCATGGGGTGCAACTCACCTATGGAAACATTGGTTACCACATCGAGCAATTTGGATCCTTGGTCCTATTCGGCCAGATGACGGATCAACAGTCGATACGAGTCGTCGTCATGATTGCATCCCCCATTGCCACAGTAATGTGCGGTTGCTTGCTTCCAAAGACGACGTCGTGCCGTATCCCGAGCTTGCCACAGCGCTTCGATCTCGAGTTGTCCCGAGCCGAGCTTGTATCCCGACCGTGCCGTTTTCTGAGCTGCTCTCTCGCGGGCCGATCCTCCAGGGACTGAATCACCTTTGGGCCACGTGTGCCGCATGCCCCCGCGAAGTGCTTGGGGAGTCCCGCGTCGCTAGCCATGGGTCCACCTGCCTGGTCGGGTAGACTCGGCGGCGAGCCCGGGGGGAAGTGAGAAGGGGCGGGCCTTCTCAGAAGGCTCGGAAGTTCCCCTACCTACCGAGAAGTTTCGCATGCCTTTCCCGAAGACACATAACATTTCTCAGAAGGCGCGAGGGCTTCTGAGAAGTCCCGCCGCCTTCTCAGAAGGCCTTCTCCTTCCCACTTCCCCCTCGCTCGCCGCCGATGATCGGGTAGACTACAGCGGGACCGCCATGGGGTACCCGAAGTTGAAGCATTGTCGTGAGGCATCGCCCAGCCGCGGGGACAGCCCAACATTGAGCCAGCCGCCGTCTACAGTCAGCACGCTGACGGCCGAGAGCATCCCGTGCGCCTGAAACCCGCACGTGCCAGTTGCTTGTCCGCGCGCCTTCTCCAGACGAGACGTCTGGTGGTCCTTCTTTGAGGCCCTCGAGGACCTCGCGCTGGGCTCGGAAGGTCTCAAGGACCGCCCCTTGGCGCAGCCAACGTGTACGTTCCTCAGCCGTGGCCCGGTGTCGCCGCCATGGTGCGTGGCGGGGGCCCACCTGCGCAAGCCACCCAGCAACCTCCAGCACGATCCTGCACCCGACGGGGTGATGGATCGCAAGGGCCCCGCGAGCCGCACCCGCGGCCGCACCCGCAGGGCTGCGCGTGGTGCACCTATGTGGTGCGAGCCAGGTGGCGCAAGCCCGCACCGCCTCGCCCTCTCCTCCATGCAACCAGCTGCAAGTTGGCGTTGGCCCGTGGACTGGCGTTCGGATTGGGCCGTGGACTGACGCTTGGGTGTTTCATTCTAAGCAAAAGTGTAAACCAAAAAAGAAAGCACGCGCCGCAGCCTGTGCAGGGTGAGGTCCTGCCGCGTCTAGTCCTTCCTCGGCGGGCGGATTCTCGCTGTCCTTGCGCCCCTGCTCTTGGACTTGGGGCGCCGGGCCCGGACGTCAAACGTCGCCGTGGAGAGGCAGAGGCACTCTGCGTCGGCCTTGAGCTGCGTCGGGCGCGCCTCCCCGGCCTCCTTGGACGCCTGCTCGTTGGCCGCCGCAGGGGATGTCTGCCCCGCCTGTCTTTGCCCCTGCCCTGTTGCTCCTCGCCCGGCGCCAGCGGCAGCCTCTGGTCTCTCGTGACCACCTCAGGCCTCGGGTACTGGTCACTTGCGCGTACATCCCGTGAGAGACGCATCTCGCCTCTGCAAAGTTTTCGCCGCACAGAGGCTCACTGGCTCATGTCGCTGAGAAAAGTATCAGGCACTGGCGGAGCTCATGTTCCGCAGATGCCATCTATGCACCACAACCGTGCCCAGCCCAGGGCCACCCTGGGCTCCATGATGGTGTACAGACCCTTCTGGCCTCGGCCAGGAGGCGTATTCACCATGCCAAAGGGTGGTGGTGCATAGATGCACTCTGCGCACGTCCGGCTCCACCAGTGGACGATCTCGTCTGTGGGGCTCTGGAGCTGCTGCGTCCAGAGCTGCCGGGGGGGGGTGCGGAAGCCTGCCCGGCCTGCAAGGCCCCGTCCTGCGCGGGTAAGAGGCTCTGGATGGTCCTTTGACCTTGGGGCGACAAGCTAGCAGGAGGAGTTGGACGACGGCGAGGAGGACGAGGAGGAGGGGAGAGGAGGAGGAGGACGAGGAGGAGGGGGAGGAGGAGGAGGACGAGGAATGATCTTGAGGATTGTTTCTTGGAGTTTGCCCACTTGGTTGCGAATAGCGTCCGGATCGAAGGGGGGCGCATGTGACTGGGCCTCCGGCGTACCGTAGGCGCCGGTTCTCGTGATGGCCGTGTATTGGGCCTCGTCGAGCAGGAGCAGGTCGGAGCAGGGAGACGAGGAGGATGGGAGGGAGGTGGAGGCAAGCCGGGTGCGCTCGCGCCACATCTGGCAGCCTACCACATCCCACCCATCCCTTCCCAGTGCGTTGCGCTGTCTCTATCCGCCGGCGCGTGTCACAGCGGGCCTGTAACTCCAAAGAGGACCCCGTCGTGTTATGCGCCATTGGAAAGACAGGGAGCTGCGGACCTCGGAGGAGGAGGTGGCGGATGAGCAGGCAGAGAAGGACGAGGACGAGGAAGGAGGAGGACGAGGACCAGTACCAGGGGAGAGCGGAGGAGGGGAAATCGAGGAGGGCGACAACGATGAAAGAGAATTCGGATCCAGAAAAGTGGCCCGCGCTTGGGCGAGAGTGTTCTTCTCAACGACGGGAGCACAGCGCCGCTCCACGAACGAGGCCCACGCTGCCGCGGCAGCACCACCTCGAAGCACCGAAAACGATCGGATTGTTCAGAGTGTTGAAGTCCAGCTTTGTCAGCAAGAGTACGCGGAGAGGGCCGACCATCTTCCGGACAGAGTCAAGGGGAGAGAGGCGAGTAGTTTTCATGATGTGTAATTGTAGAGGCAGGGAGTAAAGTGGGGGGACGGGGGAGAAAGGTTGTTCCGCCCGCGGCGTCGCGAAGCCGTCCACGGGACGGGGGGGGGTGGGGGGGGACGAGAGCTTGCCAGATCCCGCCGCTCCGCCTCCCTCGTGTCAGTGTCAACCCCATCCAGGATCTTGTTGATCGTCCAGAGCCCGCTCTGCAGTACAGATTCTACCTGGCTCCGCTTCCCCGCTGGCTTCCCAGACGCGTGCGGAAGGAGGAGGAGGAGGAGGAGGAGAAGGAGAAGAAAAGAAACGAGGAGCGTGGAGCGAAGAAAAGGAGGAGAATGAGGGGCAGCGAATCCCAGGAGGGCCTCTCCTTGGAGAGCCAATAGAGCCCCACCCTGTTCAAACAACAAGGAAGTCTGGAGGGAACACGCAGGGCTGTGAAGGCTTAGCAAGGACTATGTCAGGACGTGATCGCCTCTCTCTCCTCGACAGATCCGGGGGGCGGTGCGGGCACCACGCTCTGCCCTTGGTCCCACGCCCTGTCCGCGCATGGTTGTCCGAGGTTATCGTGCGCGCGCTCGCGATACTTGGCGCGCTGCACTTCTTCTGCGACCGGATCTTCGGCTGGGAGGAGCCGATCGCATTGGGAATCTTACCTAAACGGGCGCCCCACCCAGCCAGTCAGAACAGGTAAAGCCGAAGAGTTTTTGGTTGGTGCGGCCTGCGGCGCCCACCTTGGCGGCCGCCTTGTCGGAAGGATGCCCACAGCAGGCTCAAGAGGAGGTGGAGCAGGAGCAGGGGGATGCGAAGGAGGAGGAGGAGGAGAAGGAGTAGGAGGAGGGGGAGGAGGGGGGAGAGCGAGGAGCAGGAGGAGGAGGAGTAGGAGGGGGGAAGAGGGGCGGGGGAAGGGGAGGGCAATGTGGAAGCGAAGGAGGAGGAGGCGAAGGAGGGGGAGGAAGGAGGGGTGGGGTGGTGGTGCACGCAATTGAAAGAGAGCGCCATGGGACAGGCGGCAGATACAAGCTTTTTCCCAGAGAGGGCAATGGCCCAAGGTTTTCATTTAGTTGAAAAACGTGTCCCCTGGTGCTAGGTGGGGCCAGGCGCATTTACGCTTCATAAACTATGTGATGATGCTCATTGTTCAGTTGAAAAATGTGTTTTGCCTGCCCGTTCGAGGAAAGTACAACCCCCATGTCGGATCCTGTGTAAATAGCCGTATCAACAGCGCAACATAACTCACTGGAGATCCTGGCCCTGAGCGCGCCGACGCAGCGTGGGTTACAAGGGCTCGTGGCCCTGAGAGCACGGACGCATTAAGAGAGCCTCAGGACGGTGCTTGGGGCTAGCAAGGGCTCATGAGCTTTACCTTGGCAGTCTCTAGGGGGTTGTTGGAGTCGGTTTGGGCTGGTGTGGCCCCCCAGAAGCCAACGCGGCAAACGCCAGAAGCGCCCGTGAGCGCCCGGGAATTCCAGCAAATTCGCGACCTGGGAACTGTGAACCTCCACAGGGCTTCACCACGCCTGGATAGGCGGGGCCTTCACGGAGCAGCCGAGGATATGGGACATTGTCGTGGAGCGATTTGCAGCCGCATTGAGGGGATGCATTGGGTGCCTTTGCGGACCTTGGGCTTTTTTGTGGTGCTCCGTGGCCTCCAGCGGCCGTGGCGCCCAGGGTGCAGTACGGAGTCGCCTCGAGCGGCCGCGGAGGAGGCCTCTCCGGGGGGGCATGCCGAGGCCAGCTCGGAGTCCTTCTTGGGGGGCGATCGAGGCGGCGGGGTCGGGCCACCGAGCTCTCGGGGCGCCGCCGCGGAGATTCGGGGCGCCACCGCTTCGTGCCACCGTCCCGGCTGGCCGCTCCGGCCTGCTCCTCGCGGAACTCTTCCACGTCTGAGCGCTTCCCCCCTCCTCCCCAGAGATCCTCCAACGCATTGAAAAAGGGCGGAGGTTTTTTGCCCTTTTCGGCCTTTGGGGGCCCTCGCCGGGCCCCAGGACCGTCAAAAAACGACTCAGGATGAAAAACTGGCCCCGGGGAAGGGGTCGGGACCTCCGGGGACCCCGCATCGAAAAAGACACAACATCAGATCTCTGGCTCCCCTCGCCCGGCCTCCCTCGTCTCCGTTGCTTCCTCTTGCACGCCGCACAATTCGGATCTCGGTTGTTCCGATGAGCCCCACGCTGGTGCGGGGTGCCTCGCCTGGCCGCCGACGACAACAGTTTCATGCCACGGTCGACTGATGCGGTGGCGCGCGTGCGGCGCCGGCACTGGTTTTTCCCAGGGAATGCTGGGGCCCAGAGCTCTTTCCTTCCAGGTGCACGCTATCCAGGGTAATGCACTGGGGATCGTAGCTCTGGGAGCGTGGACCATGTGGAATTGTCGAGGGATCCTTGCCGTGGCAGCGCGGATCCAGCGGAGAAGACGCACAGAACCGAACAAGGTGGTTCCCACTGGTGCGTTTGACACGCTCCCTGGCACGTCTTTTGGCGCGTGATTCGTGGCACGTTTGCGGTTCGTCCCTCGACACGTTCGGGTGGCCCTGGCAGCGCGGATCCAGCAGAGGGGACTTACAGAATGGACCGTTTCGTCCCCTTGCGCGTTCCGCGAAACGTTTCCCAGCGCGCCCTCTGGCACGTCTTTTGGCCTGCAAGTCCCCTGGCACGTCTGCAGCCCGCCCCCTGACGCACTCCGTGGCGCTTCCTCTGTCGCGTCCTTTGCCACGTCCCCTGGCGCGTCTACTGGCGTGACGTCCCCTGGCATGACGTCCCCTGGCGCGCTCCTTGGCACGTCCCGCACCGCATCCATTGCCACGTCTTCGTAATCTGAATCTGCGGAAAGGATAGTGGCCCTGAGAGCGCGAGCGCAACGCAATTTACTGAAGATCGCGCGGGCGCAGAGCTATTTACGAGGGGTCGTGGTCTTGTGAGCGCGGGCGCAAGGCACTGTCCGAGGGATCGTTGCCCCTTGGAGCGCAGCACAGCACAGCACGGCCTATCGAGCTCGAGCTTGAGATCCATAGTAGTTCGTCAGGATCCGGATGCCAAGGACGAATTGACTCACGACGCAATGGAGCATTGCACAGTTCAGCCCAGCATGACGCAGCACAGCTCAGCACAGCACGAATTCCTCGCACCTTGCGCCAAAGTCGCGGTCTTGGGGCGCACACCCCTGGTGATTCTGCGAGGGGCACTGGCCCTCGGGAGTGCGGCTCCCGTGGCAGGAGACGCCATATGGTTTCGGGAGGGTGAGCCGAAACGTGTCCGGCTCAGCCTGGTCTCGGCTGGCATTCCCTCGATCATGAGCAGGGCCAGTTTGGCCCTCGTCTTTCTCATTCGGCGCTTCGGCATTGGGCGGAAGGGGGCGGGGGGAGGCGGGGGGTCTGACTCCGGGCCTCTGTTTAATGTGGTCTTGCTTGCAGCAGTGCTGGGGGGCCCCCAAACCGTGTGGTGACCACACCGTGCGGTGAGCCGGCGGGGATTAGGAGTCGCCGCGCGGTTTTGGGACTCGAGTCCCTCTCCGAGGATGTCTCGGGCGACAGGGGCCTCCGAGGTCGCGGTGAGGTCTTGGAGGATTTCGAGGTCACCGCACGGTCGGTCACCGCACCGTTTCGGGACTCCAAAAGTGCGTCCTTTGGGGGAGACTCCACCTGCTCGAAACAGGCGCCAAAAACACCCAAGATCTACTCCATGGGGGATGAGGGGGGGGACGAGGGCCCGCGCCGATCGGCAAAACAATGAATAAGAAAACGAGCACTAGGGCCAGTTTGGCCTTCGTCTGGGTTCGTACTGTTTCGGTTCGTCCTGTCTCAGTTCGTCGCGTCTCGGTTCGCTCCGGTTTGGATTCGCCCCCTCTTGCTTCGCCCCGTCCTCGGAACCGAATCGGATCTTAAGTTGGGGTTGGTTGGGCGCCCCGCACGGTACGACCGCAGCCCGCCCTGGGCGAGCAATGCGTTCAGGCAGTTCGAGTTTCGTTTTCTTATTCATTTGCCGATCGGCGCGAGCCCTCGCACCCCCTCCCCCCTTCCCCCCCCCCTTGGAGTAGATCTTGGCTGTTTTGGGCGCCTGTTTCGAGCAGGTGGAGTCTCCCACATAGGGCGCACTGTTGCTTTGCAAACAGTTGCATTAAGAAGAGGTCCGGAGCCAGACCCCCCCTCCCCCCTTTCCGCCCAGTGTCGAAACGCCGAATAAATAAACGCTCACATATCGATATCAGTTCGGTCAGGATCCGGATGCCGAGGACGAGGTGGCCCACAACGCAACAGGGCACAGCTCCAGCACGGGACAACACAGCACAGCCCTTGGCACGGTACATCACCATCGATACATTCAGCAATGCAATGACTTGTCGCCCAGACAAGTGTTTAGAAAACGTTTCCATGCCACACATTTATATAGTCCGTCCCGGTTTCGTTGGTCAATCACGCTATTGCGGGTTGAGGAAAACAGTGTCGCGAGCACCGGGTTTTGAAGTAGGTTCTGATGGTATGTTGGAAGTCATTTGGGGCTAGTTTTGGTGTCCGTTGGGCACCTTTGTCCTTCGGTGCCGAGCCTGTGCGAGGTTTTTCCCCATATCCTAAGATGGGGTTATTGTTATTACTTGGACGCCTCCTACTCCCTCTCCCTCCTCCTCTTTCCTCCTCCCCTCCTCCTTTTTCCTCATACTCAGACCTACTCATACTCAGACTTACTCATACTCAGACTTACTCATACTCAGGCCTACTCATACTCAGACTTACTCACACTCAGACATACTCATACACAGACTTACTCATACACAGACTTACTCACACCCAGACTTTCTCATACACAGACCTACTCATACCCAGACTTACTCATACACAGACTTGCTCATACACAGACTTACTCATACTCAGGCATACTCATACTCAGACCTACTCATACTCAGACTTACTCAACACACATCAGATTTGGAGGATGTCTCAAGCGGGGCGCTGGTTTCAGCACCCCTAAGGGGAGCCGCCAGGGGTGGTTGCACGGGCTCGTTCGCGGCCATTTTGTGGGGATGTCTCAGCGGTTTGCCTGTTTCTGGCCCAACATCCTTCGCTTTCGGAGCAGATTTGAGGATGTCTCGGCGGGCGCTCATTTCAGCACCCCTAAGGGGAGCCGCCAGGGGTGGTTGCACGGGCTCGTTCGCTGCCATTTTGTGGGGATGTCTCAAGCGGTTTGCTTGTTTCTGGGCCCAACATCCTTCGTTTGGAGAGCAGATTGTGAGGATGTCTCAGGCGGGGCGCTGGTTTCAGCACCCCTAAGGGGAGCCGCCAGGGGTGGTTGCACGGGCTCGTTCGCGGCCATTTTGTGGGGATGTCTCAGGCGGTTTGCTTGTTTCTGGGCTCAATATCCTTCGCTTGGAGAGCAGATTGTGAGGATGTCTCAGGCGGGGCGCTGGTTTCAGCACCCCTAAGGGGAGCCGCCAGGGGTGTTTGCACGGGCTCGTTCGCGGCCATTTTGTGGGGATGTCTCAGGCGGTTTGCTTGTTTCTGGGCCCAACATCCTTCGCTTGGAGAGCAGATTGTGAGGATGTCTCAGGCGGGGCGCTGGTTTCAGCACCCCTAAGGGGAGCCGCCAGGGGTGGTTGCACGGGCTCGTTCGCGGCCATTTTGTGGGGATGTCTCAGGCGGTTTGCTTGTTTCTGGGCTCAACATCCTTCGCTTGGAGAGCAGATTGTGAGGATGTCTCAGGCGGGGCGCTGGTTTCAGCACCCCTAAGGGGAGCCGCCAGGGGTATTTGCACGGGCTCGTTCGTGGCCATTTTCTGGGGATGTCTCAGGCGGTTTGCTTGTTTCTGGGCTCAACATCCTTCGCTTGGAGAGTAGATTGTGAGGATGTCTCAGGCGGGGCGCGCCGGAGGGGCAGGCCTGGCAGCTGAGGAGGGGGGATGAAGAGGAAGAGGCTCGCATTCAACCATACTCAAAGCTCACTCTGACTCATACGCAATCACTCGCATTAGGGGTCACTCGTCTTCGTCGGCCCTGTCGCCCACGTGGACGCGCTATTGTAGTCGACCGCTCATGAACAGACGCGCACCACGGCATGACATAAAACATGAGATGCACATATGGGGAGCTCCACGCAGTGAGTAATTAGGTGCCGAGTCTGTAAGAATGTTTGGGCATCCTAGTTCTGGCAGGAGTTGTATTTCTCCTTCTGTGGCGCCTGATGCGCCGTCATAGAGGACACAACATAGACAGGTCTTGAGATACACGAGACAAGCATTACTAAACAACAATGACATGCAATGGCCTTCCACCCACCCCGTCACCGTGCTTGTGTTTTGGACAGGAGGTGTTCCTGTGGTTTCCTGTGGGCTTCTGGGGGCCAATTGAGGGCCTCCTGGGAGCCTTTTGGAGATTCCTGGGGGCCTGAAGGGACTTCTTGGCCTTCGGAGGCCGTCTCGGGGGCCCATCTGACAGTCGTGGGTCCCTCTTTGGGGGCTTTACCACCGTCTTGGAGGTCTGTGGGGCCGTTTTGGGGGACTCTTGGGCTGTCTTCGGGCTCCCTTGGGCCGTCTTGCGGTTCTCTTGGGGGCCTCTGGGGCAGTCTTGGGGCGATCTAAAAGGGGGGCCGATGGGGCCGCCGTGGAACAGACCAAAAAAGGCGAGAACTATGTTATCCCTGCAAGACACCCTAATAGCAGCAAAGGTGAAGAGGCGGGTAGAGGAGTAGGAGGTCGACAAGTGAAAACGTGCATTCTTGGGCATTCCGATGGAGTCCGAGGACGCACACGAAGTGCGGCAGGATGCCCATTTTTGCGTCAGGAGCGTACGCGGGAGTTGAGCTCTAGCAACACGAACAGCCAGAAGGGCGTTCGGGTGTAGTCTTGTGTAAGAGTAGCACGCGGGAGTGAAGGTCTGGCAGCACGAAAGGCTAGAAGTGCGGCAGGCTGCGCTGTGCAAGAATAGTACGCGGGAGTGTAATTCACTTGAGTGGTGGGTGGGAATATTTGTCAACTCGCGAATGCAATAGGAGCTGTGGCTATGGGGGAGACACGCGTTTGCACGACCTGTAGAAGAAGAGTCTGGATTAGATATGATTTGACATTGGGGTCTTGCACAGCAAAAGCTCGCTTGCTTGGCGCGCACATGCGTATCTGGCAGAGAATTGCAGTGGTATTATTTTACAGTTCTCGAGCCTGCACATGTAGCCGTTGTGCGTTGCGTTGCGTCGCTGGTGTGGGTGAGGGGGTCGGCCGGGTCCACCGTTGGGTTATAGCGAAACGGCAAATTGGAGGACCATTGTTGGGTGACCAGCTAGTTGGTTCGCGTTGTTGTTTTAGCCCGAGGCCAACAACGCAGTTCGAGGCTCAAGACTGTCCCTCACAAAAGCTAGGTGCGAGCCTTGGGGGGGGTGAACAAACCAAAAACCAGCCAGTGAGGGGGTTCAACAATGAGTATTCTTCAGAAGTGAGGGTCCAGTGACAACCCGCACAGCAGAACACCACTTCAGCCACGCACCCAAGGGCATAGTAAGACAGATCGGCCCCCTCACTTACCACCGCCATGAAACATTACCGGCTTGTTATTTACCATTTCAAATGTCACCCCCTCGCCGATATTTCACCCACACGTCTACTACTCACATCTACTTCTGGCTTCTTTTGAAACTCACCAATATCCCTACGTGTCCGTATCTTCACGACGTTCATTTGTTTTCCCAACCTTCCTTTGGTTGAGTTCTCGTTTTGAACAGAGCGGTGGGGTCTCCAATCCTCCGTTCTCCTCCTTCCGCCCTCTGTCCTCCTCTCACCTGTCTGCACCTGCCTGCTTGCATGCCTCCTGCCTCGCTGTCCTGCCTGGTCGGTCTGTCGCTTGCCTTGCTGTCGTGCTCTCCCTTGGGGGCTGCGAGATGAGGAACTGTCGTCACTTTCGAGGGCTGCTGGGGGGCCAGCACACGGGTGTCCCATGCAGATCCCAAAAAGACCTCGCCATCCTTGTGGGGCTGCGGAGTACGAAACTGTCGACACTTTCGAGGGTTGCTGGGGGATGCGGCACACTGATGTCCCACGCAGATCCCAAACAGACCTCGCCATCCTCGGGAGGCTGCGAAGTGCGAAACTGTCGACATCTTCGAGGGCTGCTGGGGGGGCCGGCACAGCGGGGTCCCACGCAGATCCAAAAAAGACTTCGCCATACCTGGAGGGGGGGCGGGCGGGGGCGAAGTGCGAAATTGTCGCCACTTTCGAGGGCTGCAGGGGTGGCAGGGTGCGAAGCTGTCATCGAGTCGGCCATGCACACTTCGCACGATATAGGTATCGCGCAACCGCCGTACATCGTCTCTTGCAGTGTTGCTGTCACACTATTGTCGACGCACCTTGTATCATCCCTTGGTGTCGATGGATTTGGTGCGTCGCAGGGTAATTGCTAAAGCTGCCGGTATGGTCGTCTGTCTCCTTTTGCTGCTTCCGCCCCTTGGAGGAGTTGGCGTTTCGTCACAGTAAGGCCGCGTTCGTGCGCGACTTGCTGCAGCGACGGGGCTGGCACCGGGAGGAGGTGCGCCGAGAGTTGTATTTTGTTGTGAGTTTCATTGTGAGTTTGTTTGCGTCTTCTTCTGTGCCCTTCATCCTCCTCCTCCTCCTCCTCTTCCTCCTCCTCGTTGTCGTCCTCCTCTTCATCTGATTATGTTCGTGTTTCTCCTCCTCCCCCCTCATCCCTCGCCCTTTTATCTCCTCCACCAGCGTGTTTCCTGCCTCTCCACACTTCGCCAGAGCCCCCCTTTTTATCAGTGCTTGCTCACATCAAGGTGCTCTCATCCACAGCGGATGCGAGGAGCGAAGAGGAGGAGGGGGTGAGACGGAGAAAGAAACAGATTGGGGGGAGGAGGGGGAGAAACGTATGGAGGGGGGGGAGAGGGAGAAAGGGGGTCGGAGGGGGAGGAGGAGGGGGAGGGAGGCGGGGGGGAGGAGGGAGGAGGGGGAGGAGGGGGAGGGAGGGAAGGGGGGGGGACGTGAGGATGGGAGCGGGGGGGGGGGGAGGGGGGAGTGAGGAGGGGGAGGAGGGGGAGGGAGGAGGAGGAGGAGGAGGAGGAGGTAAGCCCATTATGCATCGCCGACTCTGCCACGCACCCTCCTGGCCCATGGCCCCATCGACAGATCCCTGCACCGATGCTTCCTGACTGCGGCAAGCGCCCCCTCTAAAAATGAGCGCCCCACGTGCGTGCCAGTCCAGCGGGAGCCCCGTTTTAAAAAGGAGCCGCCATGAGCCCATCAATATGTGGGCGATTTCGGAAACCTTGCGCCCAAAACATGTTCACCTCTTGGGGGCGCATGTTTTACGTCCGCCGAGCTTCCGCCGGCAGAGGCGGCCTCGCTTTACTGCCGCCGACCTTCCGCCCCCCTTCCGTCGCCTTCCGCCGCGGAAGAGATGACACTTCCCTCGATCCTCGATGGCAAGGCCGTTGATGGAACGCCCCATGTAGGAATATGAGGGTCAAGGTTGTATCAGGCGGTGCCCAAACTTTGGAAAGAACTGTGCTCTGCCCGTGCACCTGTTGCACACGATGTCGCTTCGCTTCGGGATACGAACATAGGCTCTGGCCCCCACCACGCTGCCCTATCAGGGCCGGTCCCGCTGGACCGACATCGCGCGCTCGCTTCGTCTTGCCTCATCCTTGCACCTGTTAGAAATTCCAGTACGCCGGAGCATACGAGGGCCGATGCTGTACCAGGCGGCGCCCAAACTTTGAGGAGGGGCCGTCCTCCGTCCGCGCACCTGTGGCATAGGAGATCGCTGCGGGACACGAGCACGAGGGCTCGAGCGGGAGCTCCCTGCCGAGAAGGGGCCGCCCTCCGCCCGTGCGGCTGCCCGTGGCGCGTGCACGTCCCGGGCAGCACCGTCGGAGGAGGCGCCGCGCGCGGGCCCCGCTCCGGCAGAGGGGCCGCCCCCCGTCCGCCCGCGTCGGTGCGAGATACCCGCGCGGGCCTCCGAGTTGTCATGATTTTCAGTTTTTCCTGACTTTTCGTTTCCCTATGATTTTTCATGACTTTTCGTTTCCCTCCGGTTTTTCATGATTTTTCGTCTCCCTCTGATTTGTGTTCGTTTCCCTTTGATTTTTCATAAATCATCAACTTGCTTCTGCAACAGGAGAATCATCAGGAGCATGCCCTCGGCAATGCTTCCGCGTCGCCTCTTCGCCTCCACGCCTCGTGGCCTGCCTCGTGGGCTCGCGGCGCCTGGCGAGCCGGCGCGCGCAAGAACCCGTGCTCCCACGGCGCCTTCCGCTGCCTGGATCGATTCGGGCCGCAGAAGGGGCGAGGGCACGGGAGGGCATTCTGTGTCTTCCCGACAGCACCTCGCCTCCAGCGCCGGTCACGCGTCAGCGCAGTGCTGTGCTCTCGACACGCTGCCCTGCCACTCTGTTGCGCCGGCGCTCTTTGTGTTCTCTGCCGGCGCCCCTCGTCGCTGCATTGCGCGCTTGCGCCCCTTGCCGCCGCGCGCGAGTTCGCAGCGTCTGGCAGGGGCCTTTGGCGCACGACGCTCTCCCATGGCTCCGTGCAAGAAGCTAAGCATGGCCACTTCATTTTTCCCACCCTCGCCACCCTGTTGGGCTTTCGCCAGCGCCTTGTCTTAGCTGGGGGTCTCGGATACATGCTAGGCAGCGCTAATTACGGGCCCCTTGCTGGCGCAAGGGCGCTGGCTATTGTCCAGCGAGGGCGAGGACGACGCAATGGTTTTCGGAGAGGGGCCCCAGGAGCCTCCAGGGGTCTGAGGGCCTCGGACCAGACCCCCCCCTATTATTAAAGCAAGTGTTCGTTCCCCTATGATTACTTGTTGCCAGCTGTGGAGACGCATGTGCGAGAGCCACAGCTTGAACATGGTTCGCCTCCCAATTTGTGCAGTCTGTGCAGTGGCTGCAGGATGTCCAGGCCGCGCACGTGGTATGGTTGTTTTGCCAGTGGAGAGGATTGATGAGGAGGAGGAGGAGGAGGAGGAGGAGGAGGAGGAGGAAGGGGAGAGGGTAAGGTGAGGAGGGGAAGGCAAAAGGAGAAGGAGCAGGAGGAGGAGGCTGCGGAGCAGAAGCCAGGTGGAGGAGGAAGAGAAGACATAGGTTGAGGAGGCAGAACCGGCGGAGGAGGTCGACAGGCGGAGGAGGTGTCGAAGGGAGGAGGAGAGGCCAGCCACGCAAGCTAATCTGCTCGCGCCAGATCTGACGTCTTACCCACCCGATCCATTATCGTTGCGTTCAGATCCTCTCCACTCGCAGACTCAGATGTCGGAGAAAATGTTGACCCCGAAAGGGTAACCTTGTCGAATAATGGAAGAAGATTGTCTTCTCGGGTGGTCAAGAGCTGGAAGGGGCATGAAGGAGGCGGTTGGGAGAGGCGGGAGTGTGGGAGGGAGGAAGAGCCGAGGCGAAAGCGTGACTCGAACAGGCTGGAGGCCGTTCGGTGTAAACGACACCCGCGCACATCACATCGGTGCCACGGCACCTGATGTGGAAACACACGGCCCGCAGGAGCCAAGGCGGGGCAGACGCAAGCCGCATGCGGACTGGTGAATGCGGCTAGCGCTGAGGCGGGAGTGCCATACCCTTGGACGGAAGCTCCATGACGACTGAGAATGAGTCCAACGCTTTAGCGGGAACATCGCTTTGGTCCGAATCCACATGACACCATCACGCATGACAAAGTGTTACGGTTTGGAATGTGTGCGTGTGTGCGTGTGCGAGAGAGGGAGAAACGGACACATGACAAACAATACGCGGGAGAGGTGGGAGCCCCAATGCGCATCCTCAGGAGAGAGAGAGAGAGGGAGGGAGGGAGGGAGAGAGAGAGAGAGAGAGAGCGAGAGACAGGGAGGGAGAGAGACTCAGAGACAGAGAGGTAGAGACAGAGAGAGAGAGAGAGAGCGGGATACATGTATATAGATAGAGATACAAATAGATAGATGCATCTACACATGTATATAGATAGAGACAGAGAGAAGAGAGTGAGAGAGAGAGAAAGAGAAAAAAAAAATGAGAGAGAGAGAGAGCCGAGGAAGAGGATTAGGAAGCGAAAGTTGGTAAGAGTGGGTGCTGGGGGGGGGGCTGTCCTATATATATATATATATATATATATATATACATACATATACCTGGGGGGCAGGCCCGCGGCCCACAAACAGCTGCCCCGACCCCCCATGGGAGGTCGGGGCGGCCGGGGAGGTCCAAAATAGTCCAGGAGGGCCTCCAGAGGCTCCCCAGACGGCCCAAGCGGGCCCCGAGTCGCCGAAAGACCGCTCCTGGACGCCCAAGATAGGCCCAAGACGGCCCGAGAAGCCCTCCCAAGGCAATCCACGACGCTTGAAGACGCATCTCCCGAACGCTTCAAGAGACCAAAATCGTCAATTTCACGAAGGTTTCGGAGAGATTTTGGCCTTCCAGCCTTTTCGGCTGTCCGACGTTCCAGGCCGGCTCCATAAGCCCTCAAGTGCACCCCAAGACGGCCCAAGAGGGCCCCCAGACTGCCCCAGAGGCGCCCAAGAGAGCCCCAAGACGGCCCCAAGATGCGCCCAAGAGGGGGACCATGACTCCAAAATTCAACCCTCCCGCTTGAAGAGTGCCCTAGGAGGCCCCAAGGAGCCCCCCAGAGGCCCCAGGAGGCCCCCGAGAGGCACCCAGGAGACCCAAGCAAGCCTTCAAGAGGCCACAAAACAGCCCCGAGGAGGTCCCACAACGGTCTCAAAATGGCTACCGAGAAGCTGCGAAACTACCTTCACGACGTCCCCGACGGGCCAACCACGAGATCCAAACCAATACCCATAAGGCCTCTGACCCACCACCTAGGGCACCCGCCGCCCGCCCGCCGTCCGCGTAGCACGCACCACTCTGTACTCAACAGCATCAGTCTCCAAGACAACACCCTGTAGTCAACAGCCCCCGTCTTCAAGGCAACACCCTGTAGTCAACAGCAGGGAGGAGTTCTTCACTAGGAAAATGATGGAGGAGGTTGGTCCGCCCGCTCCAGCGTCCCAGCCGCCCCTCGTCTCCTCCCGGGCGTGTGCCTGCCTCGGTCCTCCCCCCAGAACTGATCGGCCTGGCCTCTCCGCGGTCCTTGTCGGAGCGCATGCGCTTGCTGTTTCGTCGGCCTTCGCCATGGAGAACACGTCGGCCACGCGCAGAGGGGAGTAGGGGTAGGGGGGAAAGGCTTCTTGGAAGCATCCCTGCTTCTTAGAAGGCGCGGGCCTTGTCTATAGATGTAAGGCCCGCGCCTTCTAAGAAGCAGCCTCCTTCTAAGAAGCCTCTCCCCCTCCCTCATACCCCCTTGTGCGCGTGGCCAAATATGTTGGATCATGAAGGAAAGTGGTCCGAAGTTTCCCGCCGTTTCCAGCCCACTGTGGCCCTTCCCAGGCCCCGGGATCAGGATGAAAAGCCAGTTCTGGCGACGCTCGTAGGGTCCAGGAATTGTTTATGTCTGCATTTGGTGTTTGCAAATCCCATCTAGCACATCCGCCATTGCTCATCCCACCGTTCAAGGGAGGAAAAACCTCCCCGACCCGACAAATGACGTTTACAAAACGGTCTTGGGCGTTTATTATACAGCCCTGACCTGTTTGAGTCCTTCTTTGGGTGCGTTTACTAAACGGCTTCGCGTGTCGGGATGGTTATTGTCGGGGTGGATCGTTTGCCCTCTAAGTGTGTCTCTATTCGAACCATCCTGTGTGATTCTCCGCCTCGGCTCTCCGCATCCTCGTCCCACCTATGCGTTCTTCATCCCGCTCACCACCTACAGTGGAGACCCATGCCAAGAAATACCCTGCTTGCCTCCAGGGTACCCTGGGTATCTTGGGTTTCGATGGTTTTGCTGTGGAAAGCGCGACGCTCTCACCCCCAAAATCAATGGACGTCCTGGGGTCTCAGAGTTGGGTTCCTTGTGGAAGGTTTCTTGTGGTCGAGCTCCTACCGCATGCGCTCCTCATCCCGGTCACCAGCTATGCTTCCTGCATGCGTCCTCGCTCCTGTGGCCCTGGAGGTGATTTTTGTCGACGACCAGCCTCGCAACGTCGAGGAGGTGGGCGGCCACTGTGTGGCGAGGAGGACCAGGGGCGTCGGGCTCAGCTCGGAGGAGATGCAGGAACGACGCGCCCCCCCCTTGCGAGGCGAACAGGTGAGGTGGTGGAGTGGCTATAGAGCAGGGTCATCGAAGCAGAAAAAACACTGTAAACATAAACTTGTGGCGCTCCGCGCGGATTTCTTGGATCCGCGCCGAGTGCCCCCGGCGCAGGGCTCATTTCGACCCCTCCAATTCGATTCGATTCGATTTCGATGGCTTCCGAGTTCGATTCGATTCGATTTGGGATTCCGATTTGGGTTATGATTTCTTGTTGGAGGCATACGAGCCTGCCGATTTCTGCCGATTCGACTTTTCTGGACTCGGCTGCCGATTTCCGCCGATACGATTCATTTCGATCGCCGATCCGGCTTATCGATTCGATTCTGGGCTCTCCTGCCGGCGGCGCCTCCGGCTCCGCCCCTGGCGCGGTCCGCGCGCCATGGAGGGGGGTCCAGCGCAGATCCAAGAAATCCACGCGGAGCGCCAAAAGTGTATGTTTATGCCGTTGTTTCTTCTTCTAGGTAAGGGCTGTTGCGGCGACAGTGGAACAGCGCAGCAGGAGACGGCAGGCGACGGCAGGAGCGGCGCGAAGGTTAGATTGCCTTCGCTCAGCGTACCCGCTCCAGCGGTCAGAGGTCGTGGGCCTACAGGCAAGACGTCGAAAGAAGGACCGCTCTGGGCTCAGGAGGGGCTCGGGTTTCTGGGCCGCTCCTGAGGCTTCTGTCGTGGAACTTGTTTGTGGCCTAGGCCCGCCGTGGCCAGAAGGGGGCGGGCCTCCTCAGAGGTCTCGGAAGTCCCCGGGGCCTCCTGGGAAGTGCTCGAGGCCTGCCCCCGAAGGCACAGCGAGCTTCTCAGCAGGCGCGACGGCTTCTGAGAGGTCCCGCCGCCCTCTGAGGAGGCCTTCTCCTTCCCGGCTTCCCCCCCTCGCTCGCCGCCGACCCTCAGGAGCAGGAGGAGGAGGAGCAGGAGGAGGAGGAGGAGGAGCAGGAGGAGCAGGAGGAGGAGGAGGAGGAGCAGGAGGAGGAGGAGCAGGAGGAGCAGGAGGAGGAGGAGAAGGAGGAGGAGCAGGAGGAGGAGGAGCAGGAGGAGGAGGAGCAGCAGCAGGAGGAGGAGGAGGAGGAGCCTGACTTTGGGGCTTGTATTTTGGCGTTTGAGTGGCCCAGGCCCGCCGTGGCCAAAAAAGCCCCTTGCGTTCCTTTCTGCGCGACCCCTGTGGCAGCGCGACGGCCGTAGGGTGAAGTCGGGCGCGTCTTTATACAGGAAGAGTAGATTCAAAAACAGTCAAAAAGCAGTCTGGGGACGAGCTTTCTGCTATGTTTGAGCTTCTTGTGGACCATTTTCCATGTTTCCTCCAAAATCCGCCTGTAGGGGGGACGTGTCCAGCCTAACCGTCTTTATACAGGAAGAGTAGATTCAAAAACAGTCAGAAAGTAGTCTGGGGACGAGCTTTCTGCTATGTTTGAGCTCCTTGTGGACCATTTTCCATGTTTCCTCCAAAATCCGCCTGTAGGGGGACGTGTCCGGCCTAACCGTCTTTATACAGGAAGAGTAGATTCAAAAACAGTCAAAAAGCAGTCTGGGGACGAGCTTTCTGCTATGTTTGAGCTTCTTGTGGACCATTTTCCATGTTTCCTCCAAAATCCGCCTGTAGGGGGACGTGTCCGGCCTAACCGTCCTTCTACAGGAAGAGTAGATTCAAAAACAGTCAAAAAGCAGTCTGGGGACGAGCTTTCTGCTATGTTTGAGCTTCTTGTGGACCATTTTCCATGTTTCCTCCAAAGTCCGCCTGTAGGGGGACGTGTCCGGCCTAACCGTCTTTATACAGGAAGAGTAGATTCAAAAACAGTCAAAAAGCAGTCTGGGGACGAGCTTTCTGCTACGTTTGAGCTTCTTGTGGACCATTTTCCATGTTTCCTCCAAAATCCGCCTGTAGGGGGACGTGTCCGGCCTAACCGTCTTTATACAGGAAGAGTAGATTCAAAAACAGTCAAAAAGCAGTCTGGGGACGAGCTTTCTTCTGCTATGTTTGAGCTTCTTGTGGACCATTTTCCATGTTTCCTCCAAAATCCGCCTGTAGGGGGACGTGTCCGGCCTAACCGTCCTTCTACAGGAAGAGTAGATTCAAAAACAGTAGAAAAGCAGTCTGGGGACGAGCTTTCTGCTACGTTTGAGCTTCTTGTGGACCATTTTCCATGTTTCCTCCAAAATCCGCCTGTAGGGGGACGTGTCCGGCCTAACCGTCCTTCTACAGGAAGAGTAGATTCCAAAACAGTCAAAAAGCAGTTTGGGGACGAGCTTTCTGCTATGTTTGAGCTTCTTGTGGACTATTTTCCATGTTTTCTCCCAAATCCGCCTGTAGGGGGCCTAACCGTCTTTATACAGGAAGAGTAGATTCAGAAACAGTCAAAAAGCAGTCTGGGGACGAGCTTTCTGCTATGTTTGAGCTTCTTGTGGACCCTTTTCCATTTTTCCTCCAAAGTCCGCCTGTAGAGGGACGTGTCCGACCTAACCGTCCGTCTAC